CCAGCTTGAAAAAAGATATCTCACAAAATGAACCCAGCTAGATTTCAGATATCCGTTTTGTGGTGGGGTTTTCCATTTTATGGTTTTGCTATTTATCGGTTGATGATTTTGTGAAGTTCATTTGCCAAAACATTGGCATCCATAAAGATTATTTATGGTCATCAAGTGGCTTTACTGTTTTTATTGACTTTTATTTGGCAACGAGGCACACACACACAAACACACACACACACACACACACACGCACATTCCGTAAAGTTTCCGTACAGTTGTACAGTGAAGACTCTAAGCGGTGCAAAGAGTATTTGAATCGTAACAAAATCTCAGGTAAAAGATTAGCAGGAACACCCCTGTCAAAATCTTGGTGTATATATCTTTCTTATTCGAAATGTGACGTCCATCAGAGCAAGCTTTCACTGTACATAGTACATAATACATACAGTGGCTGACCTAAAATATTTCCCCTTTGCCAAGCACAAATCCCGTTTCACTGAAGCAAGAAAATCAGCATAAGGCAATTGAAGTGAATCCAAGGAACGATGAGAAGAAGAAGGAGACGCAGAAGCAGAAGGAGAAGTAGAAAAGCAAATAAGTAAAAAAGAGAATAAGAAACATGGACAAAAATGCCAACTAATGTCACTTAGTGGATGCCGAGACAAAGGCCTCCCCCCGGCAGAGGATGGGCGGAGCTTCTTGGCATTTGTGAAATTCGAGAACAATTTAGAAACAGTTTTCAAACAGCTCGAGGCCAACTGCCGCAATCCCTACCCCTACCCGTACCCCAATGAATGCCAAATGAGATGGACACGATATTCATACAACCCCTCCCCACCCACCGACCGCCGACTGCCGACTGCTCCTATTGATAATGAGTTTTAGATGGCTTAAAAGGGGGGCTACGGCTACGGCTACGCTACGCAGAACGTCGAAAATATTTCACACTTTTCGTTTCATCGAAGGGAACGGATTGCCGACCCTCCCCCTCCCCCTCCCCCTTCCTCCACCCACACACCACCGTGGCAGATTTGCAATCTGCAATCCCTCTGTTGGCCTGTCCGGCACGTGCCGTCAATAAAGCTGCAAATCGCATAAACGGTCTGAGCCGCTTACACGTCATAAGTGCGAATAGAGTGAGAGTGAGTGAGTGAGAGAGAGAGGGAGGCTTTTCCACTATATGTGCCTGCCTGACTGGCTGGGCCTAGTCCGTAGATAAAGTTACGAGTACCCATGTACCCGCCCCATTCTGCCCCATTCCTTCCTTCCTCTGCAAGTATTTATCTATATATATTTTCCACTGGCACTCTGTCTGTCTGTCTGCCTATATGTAGCTCCTCTTTGGCTACCAAGACTGCTGCTGGTACTTGTCTGGTTATTGGCATCTTTAAGCACTGAAATTGTTGCCCTATAATCAATTCAACTTGTGGGCATAGATTTTATAGAGAGAGAGAGAGAGAGAGAGCATGTGGAGGGGATGGTATGGCAAGGGAGTAATGTGCAATACATAAATATGTACATAGATGGAATGAAGGAGGATTGCATGGGTAAAAGCCTGCAATACATAATTCTCGTATTTATTTGATGAACTCTAATACCAATAATTCTTGTAAGGAAACTAATAAAATTGAAGCCATTGCAGTTCACTTGAGTTTAAAATTAAATACCGGCTGAGAATCCACTGTAAATACCGAAAAGGAATGCAACTTTTGGCATAGCAAATATAATAAATTGATGGAAAGAAAAATGACGAACATAAATAGAAAAATTCATGATAAATAAATAAACTAAAATAAATCATTTTCAGTTCCCATTTGCCCATTGCAATCTTACATTCCTTTTGCTTTTGATTGCATTTTACAATAAAACATATAAGAATTCCCCCAAGACCGCGAAATAAATTCTGTGCACTCGGAGTGTGATTTTGTGCAGAAATTAATTAAGTGCAAAGCTGGAAAAACCAATGAACCAATGCCAATGCACACACACACACACACACACACACACACACAGCACACAGCTGAAAGCTAATTCTTTTCCCCATTCACTCATCCACCAAAGCAAAGAGAATCGAATCGAAATGCAACGCAACGCAACGCAACGAAAGCGAACCGCAACAAACTGTTTGGAGCAGAATTTATTGGAGTGGCGACTAGGTGGGAGGATAGGTGTTGGTGTTGGCGGGAATGGATGGTGAAAGCGAGGGAGAAAAATGTGAGTTTTGGTCTAAAATGCAATTGCAATTTGGCATTTGCACCGATACGCAACGCACGATGCCAAATTGCCAGCTAACAAAAATCCAAATGAAACTCAAAGCAAATTCAAACCAAACGAAAAATACAGCTAAACAAAAATTGAGAGAAAGGGAGAAACTCTCATCGAACAGTGGAAATACTTCAGGGCTTTCGGTGGACATGAACATGTGTGCATTTCATTCCAAATGCCACTAAGTCCTGTTCGATGGCAGTGGAACGAGTGAATAGATACAGATACAGCTACAGCTACAGCTACTGATATTCGCTCTTGGTACATGATGGACATCAAAATGAATGTTGAATGAGATTTTACTGGCTTATAGCAATCTTTTTTGCACTGCTAATTGGAACCAAAAAATATGAATAAAAGGTACAGGAGAAGAGACATTGCCTTAATTAAGGCAAATAGATCCAGAACTATCGAAGCTGTGTTCCAAGTAGAAAACTATAAAAAGTACACGTATGCAGATGCCAATCCGAATACACCTGAGGGGAAAATTCGTAGAATAATTCAATTTCTTTATAGTTTCAAACCTTCTCTGGGAGCCAAGCCACATCCCTCCTCTCCTCCATGAACAAGCGAGATGGAAAGTTAATAAAAGCCAAGAGAGTGCCATAGAGTCACAGCCACAGCTTCAGCCAGTTTGTGAGAATATAAAGATGTTGGCACCTGTACAGACCTGGTTTCACTTATTTTATTTTATTTCTCCGCTTTGTTGAGGGCGCACAAAAGGGCACACAATACCTGTGCTGGCATTGTTGCACATGCAAGTGCTAGGATTCCTGGCTGCCACAGGAATTGCCGCTAAATTCCCATTTGCTCTCTTCAAAAGTGCCATAGAAATACGCATTGGCAGGCATTAGCTTTTAGCATATGTACATATATGTATGCAGGTACTGAGTGTGTGTTACAGTGAAGTTTCATTCGATTCAAAGGTATCCGTCGCTTATGGGAAACTTTTAACAGCATATCAACGACATACGCAATGGCCCCCGAGTGGAACTGGAAACCATTTTGAGCCTTTGAGTGTTCCCACTCCTGCACAGAAGTGCGAATAAGCCAAAGCCAAAGCCAAAGGCAGAAAGCTGAAAGCCGAGAAAAGTCCAGCCACAGGTTAACTCTGACCCCAAAAAAAAAAACCCACTTCTCATTGGCCTTTCCGCACACTGTCTGCTGCACTCGTCTCTGTCTGAGGTGCGCGTTTAATTGGGTAAAGCATCAACTTTTTCATGCCACAAAGGGTTTCCTTTTTGGGTGGGATGTCGGCTGCCCGTTGTTTCCTCTCGCTTTCATTGGAGTGCGTGTATCCCCCCCTCGAGTGTGTGTGGGCTATTAACAACTTGAACAATACTTTGGCGTATCGTATCCCCCAAACGTAATACTCCAAGCACAGATGGCGAAAGCCGCCACTGCCTCTGCCATGTTTTTGGTTTGATTCTAGCTCTGGTTCTAGCCCCGCTTGCCCGCTGCCATTCCCGCACTATTAAAATGCAATCAACTGCCGGAGAAGCGAGGAGAGCCATTTCTTCACTTTTGAAAGTGTTTTCTCATATATGTATGTATGTACGATATGCGATATATATAAAATATTAATTGCTTGTGTGTTAATTGCAGAGCACTCAACGTAATGAAGGCATTTTCATGAATATGTATAAGGAGTGTCTATTACGCCCCCAAACACACACACTCCACTATCGAAGCGTGGGCCAAAAATCAATTTTAAATTAGAGCAAAATGAGCTCATGTCACCTGTCCCAGCACCAGCACCAGCACCGTCACCGTCACCGTCACCACGTGGCCATCAGGTGATTCCATGTACCGTCCCGCACTTCCCACACATGACACACGACACAAAAAGGTCATTCCAGACAGCGGCTCCTCCCTGCCAGCAGCAGCAGCAGCAACAGCAGCAGCAATGCCCCTCCCCCCAGCCCGCTCTTTTGGTTGGGGGAGACTGTTATGGAATCGAGTTACCTGCCAAAAGAAGAACCAGTGTGTGCCGCCTGTCCCTCTTCCTTTTGTTGAGTGTAGGTGGGGGGGGCGGCGAGGGTAGGCACATGGTTACAGTCCTTGCTTGTGCTGCCGTGCGGTGTGGCACAATGGAGTAAACAACAATAAAGCGAAGACAAACAAAAGAGTAACAAAAAGCCAGGACTGCGACTACGACCAGGCGAAGGTTGAGGTGCAGACGAAGGCACACTCAAACACAGAAGCCCAGAAATATAGAAGGACATGATGATGAATGACGCGTTGCTAGACAATTTTTCAATTTGAATGGTGACCCAGCACAGCACAGCCACACCCACCCCCACCCCCACCCCCACTACCATTCAATTCAAGCCCCCAATAGACTGGATAGGCACAAACGAACAGAAATAGTCATCCTTTTCGGATTGCGATTGAGTTTTCGCATTTTCAGTTTTCTGTTTTCCATTTTTCTGTAGAGGAATTGGCAACGATAGATGGATGCAACCTGCAATTTGCCGCCTGACTACACCAGACGCAATTCCTACCACTCCCCCCCCCTCCAACCACTGAGCCGAAGAATGGTTGCTGCTGGATGGGTGGCAGAGACAGAAGAGAGATTAAAGACCAAGGCTGCATGCTGCCCCTGCACCAATGGGGTACGATTTTTAATTGCAGTGAAATCGAACAGTTTGACAGCAGGCAGCAGGCAGTTGGCAAAACAAATAAATGGTTAAGAATCCTTATACATATGTAGATGCAGTTGGTTGCATTTGCTCACTCACCGCTTGCCCTTAAAGGCCAACAGGTACTTCTTGTTGGCCGGAAAATTGTTGGACTGCACAGAGCCTGTGGCGCCGGCCCGCAGTGGGAATTGCTTGTGGAATAGCGGAATGCTGACATCGAAGCCATGTCGCACCTGGAGCACACTCATGCTGGCCTTGGCCAGAATGGCATGGCCCGCATCGAAGCCCAGCGAGTTTTCCGCATAGTCCGGCCAGGTGCCCGAATACAGATTGAAGATGATGTGATTCCTGCCGTTGTTCCAGTGCGGCAGGCGGGCCAAGCGCGACGGCACATTGCGCACATAGTCCTCGGAGAGGGAGTCCCTATCCAGCGTGTCCATGCCCAGCACAAAGAGGCAGGCGGCCGTCGGATCGCTGGTGTGATAGCGCGACTCCTGTATGGCAGTGAGTATCTTCTGGTAGTTGGCCGATGTGGGCGGTGCAGTGCCCAGCGAATTCAACGGCTCCGGCGGGTATACGTACACCAGGAACTGTTCGTAGCAGCGGGTAAAGTCGAAGCACGTCTCCATCCGACAATCCGATCCTCGACTGCGTCTCGAATCGTTGCGCCCCAGTGCTGCCAGTGCGGCCGCAGATCCATTGCCATGACCGGCCAGTGGCCCCAATGGATCCGCATGGTCCAGGAAGCTGGGCAGCTGCTCGTACGGCGGTTGCACGCCCCCATCTTTGGCCGATTCGTGCTGGGCGCGGCGTGGACGCAGCGGCGACACTTTCAGCCGATAGCCACCGAAGTAGGCGTAGGCCAGGAAGGCGCAGCACACAAAGACGAGAATGTAACGCTTTTTGGCCTGCATTCTCTTTTATATTTGGATGATGGCCGCTAGTCTCTCGTTTTTATTATGTATTTATTTTTTGCAAGGGGAATGGTCTGCGATTTAACGGTTGTGTTCCCGGTTGTGTGCACAGCGCGTGGGAGAGTGAGAGAGGGAGACAGAGAGAGAGAGCGAGTTGGTGCGTGGGGGAGGGGGGGGAGGTGTCTTGTTTGGTTCAAGTTCAGCAACAACAACAATAACAACACTCTCGCTCTTAAGTCACACGCATTTTTACCGCTTTGTTGTTTGTGGGGCTGTTTTTTTTGTTTGTGGCTGGCTCCCGCCCCTGCTGATAACACTTGCCTGCCTACCTACAAACAGATCTTGAACATCTTCCCGTACTATTTGTTGGTTGCTGCTGCTGTTGTTTCCAATTCAAAGGTTATATTATAATAATCTTTTTATGATTATTCATTTCCTGGCGCGGGCCAGAAGCCGCGGTGTTTAGCAGCAGGGCAGCGGTGGGGGTGTCGACGCCGGCGGGCAGCAGCAGTGGGCAGGGGCTGGGGGGACTGTGGCTGTGGCTGTGACTGGGAGTAGCATGGACGACCACGACGACGGGGGGAACGAGGGTGCGACGACGGCGACGGCACTTCGCGCGGTCTCCCAGCGACAACATATCCGCGACATTTACACACACACATGAACACACGCGGACATTTTTATTGCATTTTTTTGCATTATTGCCGGGTTTTTATTTGTTTTATAAACATTAACACACAAAACATTTTAATCCAACATTCGCGTGTTATCGTTGCTTCGCACCCGTTTGGTACAATTTAGTGCATTTTATATTTCATGTGAGTGAGCGAGAGAGGGAGTGGAATGCAGAGTTGCCAGGCTGTTGATGTTGTGGAACGAACGCGCGTTAATTTTTGAAATTTAACATTTTGTTTGTTGTCTTTACATTTTTTAGTTGTTAATTTACTTCAATTGCAATTATTAAGCGATGAAAGCGCTTGTCAGTGTAAGTCCGATAGTTCTCAGCAGCTTTTGTGTACGCGCTGCAGTACTGATAACAATGCACAATAAATGCAGTTGATGCGCTGCCCGCGCGTATGTGGATGCGTTTTGATAGCTCGGCTGGTACTGACGGACTTCTCTTGGCCAGCCAACTTCACTGGAAATGACCAACAAAAAACTCTTTGACTCTTTTGTGGGAAAGCCTGAGTATGCGCAGTGTGGCGCGCGCTCCATTGTGTCCACGCACCAGGTGGCAGCACTAACGCCAACAGCTGTGCGCGCGCAATTTGAATTTGAATTTTGAAATGCATTTATCAAATGCATTTCAGGTTGAAGGACAAATTAGGGGTATATTCCGCCCAGAGTGCGTATCCCCCCGAGCGTAGGGGCGTAATATGTTCACGAATCTTAATTACCAACTAATAATAATTGTGGCAAACACACAGCATGCAACCTGCAACGTGCAACCTGATGTGTTGCCTCATAATAATTGTTATTTGGTTGGAAATTAATTACATTTTTGGGGTGGCAACGATTTGCGAATGTCACCGCTGGGAATTTTATTTATTCGGTTATTAATTATTGGCCAAAAACTCATTTGAATGTAAACATCAGGTAAAAGGGTGGGTGGCATGCAACATTCCACAGTGACCACAGTCGGCAGCAGACTGGTCGTAATAAATACGAAATAATTATTATTAAAATAAATGCAAATGCAAATATACTGTTATTTGTTTGGTGTTTTCTTTTCTGTTGTTGTCCTTGTCGTTGTTTTTGTTGTTGCTGTTTCGTTTTGGAAACTGTCGCATCCGCATCCTTTTTTGGCCGTCGTCCGGCGCCCTTTTGGATGCTTTGGGGGCGGAGTGCGGGTGGGGCGCTGCTCTGTGCGCGCAATTTCCGTGCTACAAAACGCGTTTAGGCTGGAATTTCAATTATGCACAGGAATTGCTGGCTGCCCTGGCTGCCCCCCATTCCTCATACCTCATTCTGCTGCCCTTCTTCTTTTACTTCCGGTGTGCTTCCTGCGGCGTGGCCGCAATTATGATGCGCCTTCGCAGATAAAACTCCCGACCCCAAAAAAAAAACAAAGTGAAATATGTCAGGCAGCAGCTGCAGAGGCTCCTTACATGCAAATCAAATCAGCGAAAAGGCAATAATACTAGAAATCTGAAATATTATGAAATTACCAATGAAATTAAATTTACTTCAACCTTTTTGTACAGTGTACAGTGAGTGAGGGAGCAGGAGTGGAGTCAGTCAGATGATAAAGCACTTCAACTAGAGAACCGAGCAGCTTAGCCACAAGTATTCCAAGGCAATTCTCCTGACACTTTTCCATTGTCTGAGTTAAAATTAAATTTCCAAATACAAAAAGGCGAACAGAGAGTGTGAATTTGAAATGCTTTATGTGTGGATTTGTATGTTTTCCATATTTTAATTAATAATTGTGCAAATATTTGCACGCATTTATTGCATTTAATTAAGAGCAAAATGTTAGCGAATCCCAGCCATTACTCTTCACCGCACACACACAACAAATATCATATACCTACTAGTAGTACCTGTGGGGCTTTCCAGGCAAGACCCAGACCCATGTGCAAAATGTAGACGTGCTCTGGCTGTGGCGCTGGACCACCGCTTGATGGTCATGCAGTTCGTTTCCGTTTCCGGTGTGCCTCTAATTAAGTGTCTGCCAGCGAGCCACGTCCCATGGCCTGCAAGTGCAAGCCTGTCCCGCCCTGCAGCTCTTTGGATTATTTTAGGATTTCTTTACTTATTTTTTATATATACGTTTTTTTCCTATTAAATCACGGATTACGCCTCGCCACGCCCCGCTCCGCCCCCTCGTTCAAAGTTAATCAATCATGCACACGCCTCATACATAATTTTGTGCTTTTTTTGCGAGTTTTTAGGAGGCATTCGTTCCGGGAGGCAGCTGCGACTTTCACTTCTCTGGGTGTCTTCTTCAGTGACTCTCCCCTCCCCACCCTCGCTCTCTACATATATCTGTCTTTCCCGTCTCTTTTGGCTGCGTTGAAAACTTTGATGGATTTTCTGTTGCTTCTGCTGCTAATAAAAACATTCTCGATTTACTTTGACCAAAGGTGCTGCTGTGCCCCCTGTTCCCTGGTCCCTGTTCGAACTTTAGCCACTCGACAAACCCTTTATTACTATTACTCGAGTACATTTTGTTTAAGAACTTTTCTATAAACTACTAATAGGAGCACATGGCAATCAACTCTGTCTCTCTCTCTCTCTACCTCAACCTCTCCCTCGGTTAAAGTTCTCTTCCTTTTGCTTCTGCTACTCTTCCTTCTTCTTTATGCAACTGTACATACAGCATACAGCAACAACATAAATTCATTAGCTCGAAGACAATGTACGCGAGGGGGGGAATGAGTAGTGTATAGTGAGGACAGAGGGAGGCAGTGTCCAGGCAGAGTATAGAAGCTTCAGCAATTCTCCTCTTTGCTTGTTCTTCATTCTTTCGCTCTTCTTTCACGCACTCACTCCCACCCGCTGCCACCCCCCACCATCACTGTTTCTACACTAACAATTTCCCCAAATCAAATGCCCCACAACATCTTCCGCAGAGTATACTCAACAAAAGGTAGGGACATGATATCCCTGTTTGGTGTGTCCCTGTGGATGGCTTTCTCGTTCTGAAATTATATAATTATAAGCCCCTTGCTTGTAGCACTAGGAATAAATAAATAAACAAGTGCTCGCAAAAATGTATGTTGGCACCTACGCCATATGGATGCGGAGGCGGGTGAAGTTTGAGGAAAGGTTGCCAGCAACAGAAGCCACAGAACTTTATTACACGCTATTATGTTGCTGCAAACAGCCAGAAGCAACTGGGGAACCTGGCAAAGAGCACCTCTTCAGCATAATATGTTAATAACTTTGATTTTCTATGCATTATACTGAATATTTCCAGAGATGGCTTAATTTGCAGAATTTACAAAAATAAATATAAAAAAAAAAATATAATAGAAAAAGTACAAAATAAAAAACAATAAATAAATAAATTGAAAATAGAATAAATATTTAAATACATATGTATATATACAAAATATAAGTAAAATACTACACTGTAAACAATTAGTAACAAATAAATTTATGTATTTTTTTGCTTTGGATGTTAAGAAATTAAATCAGCTACAATTTTAAACTCAACAAATGTTGCAGCTATAACGTTAAATGTTAAAGAAGAGTCCTGCTTTGTCATGGACAATGAAGTACCTGTGGATGGCAGTGGGGCAACATATTGCACTCACTGCTTTTGGCCACATATTGTGTGACAATAAATGCTACCGCCACGATTGTCAAATCATGCACACTGAAACAGCTGGGGGCGGGAAAGGAGGGGATAGATGGCTAATGCTGGCCATACCCGTGGGTGTCCTTGGCTTTGCGTTTGGCAAAATAAAGTGGCCATAATATGGTTCAGCTCGTGTCTTTTTACGACTTGAATGTGAACGATTATGGCTGTGTGGAGGTGTTAACCCATACTCTCTCTCTCTCTGTGCTCGCTCCCATGCCCCCTCACTCCCGCGCCATCTGCAATCTGGCATCAGAGCCAGAAAATGCAATATCTATATGTGCCAGAGACTGGCACGAAGAACAGCTGCCATATCTTGTCAGATTTCGCTGTCTGAGGTGAACATGACAGGCCCAGCCGCAGCCATGACGACATCGTCGATGCCTGCAGGACGTGCCAAGGATAAGGCCACACGAAACCCTTTCCGACATGTTCAGCAGGGGTGTGTCGAGGGATACGAGGATGAGGAGGATGATGATTATTATGCTGGTGCCTCTGACAGGCGGAGAGGGAGTGCGAGTTGTTGGTCAGTTTACAAATCCAATCAACGCTGCGTATACTTGATATGCAAACACTTTTCCCCCCAAAAACACTGAACCAAACGAAGGAAAAGTTTCGCTGTTGCCCCATTTCATTCCCTTGCTCTCTCTCTCTCTCCCGCCCCATGCTCGATTTCGCTGCTGTGTTGCTTCTGCTAAATTAGTTTGGCAAACATCAAACAGGAGCAACAGCAAGCTAAAAGAGCAGCAAAAGCCAAGCAACAGCAACGAAAAACAATATACTCGTACTCCACATAAACTCGCACGCATAAATAGGTATGGGTATGGTATAGGGGAGAATACTGGGAGGTGTGTGTGTGGAATAATTCAATTTATTTAGCCAACAAATATGTAGAGCTAAAGCAAGCCAAAAAAATAGTTGCAGTGCTGGCTAACAAAAAAAATGTACATACTTCGTTATGATTTCTTTTTGCATGAAAACCCTACCGAAAATTGTTAGATATTGATCTGTGGCACTTTTCTTAACTTAATTCTGGCTGTAAGAATCCTTTGATGCGTTATGACAGTTTTAAAAAAAAAACAAAAAGAAAAAGAAAAAGGAAAACAACTCCAATAAAATTGCGTTTGTTTCTGTCTCTGATATTGATACATACTCGCACGTACATGCATACATATATGTATAGACTTCTAAAGAACAATCATAAAATTTCAGTTTCACTGAGCAAACATTTTATGCATACTCCCTGAGCATTTGGCTGGGGCTGGGGCTGGCGCTGTGCAGGGCGCTGGGCCCAACGAGCTGGAAAATGTGTTATTTTATGCGAAAAACGCAATACCGAAAGGCAATTTCACAAAACTTTTACTGCACTTGCAGGAAGGAAATGTTAGCCAAATATAAATATATGTATATTTAGCTGGATGTATTGATGGCAAGAGCAAAGGCTTTTGGCATATAAAATATGCTAAGAAACACTTAAAGTAGATAAAGAGAAGCCTCCCCGCAAGAGTCCTGCTATAATCTGTGCAACCTTAATTATAAAATGATCAAAGAAACAGAAACCAGATTAGGCTGCCGCACACAATATGTCCCCGGGGAGGGAAAGTGGGCGAAAGATTC